GATGGAGGCCACTGTGTTCTTGGGGACCTTCAATGCTACAGACATTTTTTGGTACCCTTCCCCAGATCTGTGCCTCAACACAATCCTGTCTCAAAGCTCTACGGACAATTCCTTCGACCTCATGGCTTGGTTTTTGCTCTGACATTACATTTACATTTACCTAATTTAGCAGACGCTCTTATCCAGAGCGACTTACAAATTGGTGCATTCACCTTATAGCCAGTGGGATAACCACTTTACAATATGTTTTTTTTTTTTGGGGGGGGTGGGGTAAGGGGGGGTAGAAGGATTACTTTATCCTATCCCAGGTATTCCTTAAAGAGGTGGGGTTTCAAGTGTCTCCGGAAGGTGGTGAGTGACTCCGCTGTCCTGGCGTCGTGAGGGAGCTTGTTCCACCATTGCACTTATATAGACAGGTGTGTGCCTTTCCAAATCCTGTCCAATCAATTGAATTTACCACAGGTGGACTCCAATCAAGTTGTTGAAACATCTCAAGGAAGCTCAATGGAAACAGGATGCACCTGAGCTCAATTTCGAGTCTCATAGGAAAGGGTCTGAATACTTATGTAAATAAGGTTACTGTTAGGTTAATTTTTTTTATACATTTGCAAAAATTTCCCAAAACAGTTTTCACTTTGTCATTATGGGGTATTGTGTGTAGATTGCTGAGGATTTTTATTTATTTAATCAATTTTAGAATAAGGCTGTAACGTAACAAAATGTAGAAAAAGTCAAGGGGTCTGAATACTTTCCGAAGGCACTGTATCTCCATTTCGGAATTAAAAATGCTTTAGAATAACGCGAAAGAAGGCCTCTGATGTCCAGCTTTTAGAGAGGGGAGGGCCTCACATGAAGGAGCCTGGTTCAGCCTCAAATGCAACCCTATTCCCTACATAGTGCACTACTTTTGCAGAGAGCCCTATGGTCAAAACTAGTGCATTATATCGGGAATACGGTGCCATTTGAAACGCAAGCCCTGTATTACCCCCCTGCCTCAGAATAATGCTGTGTTCGTAACCAAGTGGGAATTTACCACATGACTGGGAAAAATCCACTGGAATAGCCCTCCAACTAGTAATTACTAGTGGGAAACTTGTCTATCATCCTGAGCTCCCACTTCTCCCACATGGTGACCTCTTGCATAACCTACTAAGGAAATTACCTTGATTACAGCATTTTCGGTAGTTAAATGCAACAAAACATTATTAAAAAAATTTATCTAATAATATGGTTTTTGAACACTATAATTTGTTTGTAAGCATGATACACCATATATACAAAAGTATGTGGACACCCCTTCAAATTAGTGGATTTGGCTATTTCAGCCACACCCGTTGCTGACGGGTGTATAAAATCGAGCACACAACCATGCAATCTCCACAGACAAACATTGGCAGTAGAATGGCCTTACTGAAGAACTCCGTGACTTTCAATGTGGCACAGTCATAGGATGCCACCTTAACAAGTCAGTTTATACAATTTCTGCCCTGCTAGAGCTGCCCCGGTGAACTGTAAGTGCTATTATTGTGAAGTGGAAATGCCTAGGAGCAACAACAGCTCAGCCACAAAGTGGTATGCCACACAAGCTCACAGAACGGGACCGCTGATTGCTGAAGCGCGTTGCGTGTAAAAATAGTATGTCCTCGGTTGCAACACTCACTTCCGAGTTCCAAACTGCCTCTGGAAGCAATGTCAGCACAATAACTGTTTGTCAGGAGCTTCATGAAATGGGTTTCCATGGCAGAGTAGCCGCACACAACCCTAAGATCACCATGGGCAATGCCAAGCGTTGGCTGGAGTGGTGTAAAGCTTGCTGCTATTGGACTCTGGAGCAGTGGAAACGCGTTCTCTGGAGTGATGAATCACGCTTCACCATCTGGCAGTCTGACAGACAAATCTGGGTCTGGCGGATGCCAGGAGAATGCTACCTGCCTGAATGCATAGTGCTAACTGTAAAGTTTGGTGGAGGAGGAATAATGGTCTGGGGCTGTTTTTCATGGTTCGGGACAGGCCCCGAACCAGTGAAGGGAAATCTTAACACTACAGCATACACTGATATTCTAGACGATTCTATGCTTTGAACTTTGTGGAAACAGTTTGGGGAAGGCCCTTTCCTGTTTCAGCATGACAATGCCCCCGTGCACAAAGTGAGGTCCATACAGAAATGGTTTGTCGAGATCGGTGTGGAAGAACTTGACTGGCCTGCACAGAGCCCTGACCTCAACCCCATCGAACACCGTTGGGATGACTTGGAACGCCAACTGCGAGCCAGGCCTAATCGCCCAACATCAGTGCCCGACCTCACTAATGCTCGTGGCTGAATCGAAGCAAGTCCCCTCAGCAATGTTCCAACATCTAGTGGAAAGCCTTCCCATAAGAGTGGAGGCTGTTATGGCAGCAAAGGGGGGACCAACTCCATATTAATGCCCATGATTTTGGAATGAGATGTTCGACGAGCAGTACTTTTGGTCATGTAGTGTAGCTGTACTTTTAGTTTATGGTTTACGCAGCTTGTTGGCCATTAGCCAATCGGCATTTCTCAATGAGTTCAAAGTGCGTGAATGCATCCAAATTCCCATCTCCCACTTGGTTACGAACGCAGCATTAGCTCCCAATGTCCCGCCTCCTAAATGCAAAACCCTGCCCACTGGCTCTAGAGTGTAGAGAGAATTCCTTCCTGTACTACCGCTGTACAGACTTAAAAAATTATTCACACAAGCAGGGCAGTTACACATTAGCCCACAGTTGCAGTTGATCAGATCCTACCTACGCTGTTCTTCAAGTAAAATCAAATGCTGGTAATGTCTGACACCTTGCAGGAAAGTAACAATTTTAGCTGTGACTTAATTCACACAAACCGGAGCTGTATTGATGTCCACAAACCGGTGTAAACCATGTTACTAAAATATCGTACCCTCTGGAAATTAAAGTATGTCCCCTGTTACATAGTGGGAGAGTCCTCTCTATTGTTACTTCTGATCCTTTAAAAACACCCAATGAAGCTCAATCTCTGACTACAACAGAGGTGGTCTGTCTACTAACCCCACCACCCCACAACAAACTGCACCTCTCAGCACCAGGGCATGTGTCTCACCTGAAACACATGCATCTTTAAGTGCAGTAAATAGTCATTCTTATAGTCTCTTTCTACGAATATATATGAACAAAATAAAATGTAGTATAGCAGCTAGTTTGGTTCTGGTAACACGTGGCTATAGGACAATGAGTGTGGCAGAACGTTGGCCATGCTACAACGCTGCTGCTTCTTTTGCAAAGGCAGTGAGAGAAGGGATCAACTGTATCCCAGTCAGACAAGGCCCATACCATCCATGCCCCAAGCAGATGACCCCAGGCACGTTGGTTTGGTCCAAGTGGAACGAGACGAAACTCAAAGGCCTCACCTGGAGGATACTTCACAGCAAGGCAAATGGAGAGACAATGCCCTTCAAATAAAATGCGACAAAATGGCTTGATAAAACATTGAAATAGGAAGGCTTACTTTTAACAGTGCAAAATGAGTCCTACCACCAGAGTGTTAAAATGAATGAGACAGATCCATTAGCTAACTGTCCCCACCTTCAACTGGTCAGTCTACATACTCAATAATAATTCACATTAAAAGCTAAATCATGAAACTGAATCAATGCAGCCATTCTATAACCCCAGACAGTCCTGGACAACATATCATGCTTACAGTAATGCTTGGATTACATTATTTGACTGTATAACAAAACGAACTAACTGATCTCACAGGAGCTCCATATAAAATAAATACACCCTTTGTCTTTCAAATTCTTCTTCTTTACACCCAAAACAGGCACTTTGTCATAATTCACCCCATTTACAAAAGACAACTTTTTTTTGTCATTTGTCACCCCCACATAACTATTTTGTGGCATCAATCCTTGGCGCAGTTTACATTCTTTATCAGTTATAACCTGCCCATGTCCGATCATAATGGCCCAAAAATATCAAATTGGTATGTTAACCATAGGACCTGTTTTCTGCATTAACGACTTATTGCACTTTAGGATTGCATGACATCATCAGTTCCTTAGCTAAAAATTGGAAAAACCTCTACGGTCATTGACAGACAAAGAAACTAACAGTGTTCTATTGCTGAAAATGAATGTTAAATAAGACTAATCTCATAAATCTCATAAATAGCAGGAATAAAACAAAGGAAAAGTGAAATCTGTAGCTACCACAGTGAACTCTGTAAAGGTTCTGAGTAGGTCCATGATGTGGCCAGGGTTGATATTCTAACAGTACTTGACAGGTAATCCCTAAAACAATGACTGTGGCTGTATGTAAAAAAAACAATAACTCTGTTGATATTGATAGAGAATGCAGTGTTAAACTTTGACTGGCGCAATGACTGCAAGTAAGTCACCATTGGCTTAAAGAGAGAGTAGAGTAAGTGGGCGAGCAGCTTGCCGTATGAAAAATGGCATAGCTGTGAATCACGAGCATTCTTGACTAACAGGCATCGTCATGGCAATCAGACTTCTACGACAAGCTGACAGAGACATGTAAAGAGGACAACATATGATTGAACCCCATGGATAGACAAGTCATCATATCATTCATCACTGGGTTGAGGAACAAGACTGATCCTCACTGGACCTGCTATGCCCCCACGCACCCACCCACTGAAACCATCCTTATCAATTCCCCTGTCTTGTCTTCTAGACTCTGGCATTTTGAAAGTAACACAAAGCAAAAGTTGAGCTGCTGTCAAACCTGTAAGGCGAGGACATGACAATATCAGAGACCGTCCATAATGAATTAAAAACACAGCAGAGGAGAACGGGCCGGGAGAGGATTGGCTGGTTTCGTATTGCATAACGTTTCTGTACTCCCCTCTGGCTGTTGTTGTTATCCTTAGCAGCTTGGCATCCCCTTGTCAGGACCAGAGCTGCACCAGCCCAGGGTCCAATGTGAGACCGACAAGGCTGACTCCCACGAGGACACAGAGGCTGATAGGGGTATTCTAGCTCTCAGGCGAAGTACATGGTCCTCAGTGTGTCGTGATGAATCTGGACAGCCTTGGCGAGGGCCGTGGGGTCTCGGCCATTACTCTGCCCTGAGACATGGCTGCCCTCCGCACTGCGTGTGTTCCAAGAGAAGGAAGTGAGGAAACGAGAAAGGGAAAAGGACAGAAAGGGAGGGAGAGAACCTTTATCTTGAATGAACATGAACATTTTACAATCAATACATGACATCGGCCTCCAGTTTCTTTTTACCTGATAAACAGCAAGAGACATTGATTTTAGCCCTACAGAAAAGTATACTGATCACACTAAAATGAATCCCTTCCCCCCCCCCCCCCTCACCTGTCATGTTCTTTGTCCACCAGGTGGTAGCGGGCACGGAAGGCCACCAGGTGGGCGTAGTAGGCTGGCGCGGGGATGGAGACTGAGCGGGTGCAGCGCACGTAGGTGTGGCACAGCTGGTAGGTGAGCAGCTGGAACTCGTCAGCCGTGAAGCAGTTGTCGTCCCACAGGACGTGGTAGTGGGAAGGTCGGCTCGTACCCTGGAGGGAGAAGGCTAAGTCAGTAATACCACAGGGACAATGCAGGTTCTATGGAGAGAATACCAGCATTGATTCAACACTGACAATTAAAGTTTAGTGGAAAGTAATAGAAGCTGATGAAGCTCAGAAAATATCAATGACGGCAAGAGTCGACATTAGGGAGAAATAAGCAGGAGATACTACCTGAACTTGTCCAATAAGAATGCTGACTTTAGTTTTATAACATTTCCCCATCTTATGCCTATTGAACACAACCCTAGTATGAGTCTTGACACACACCTGTATTCCTGCATGGCTGCAGAGGTAAAAGTCAAACTCATAGGGGTGGGTGATGTCTGTGTCCACAGTGGTGCCTGCAGGAATGTTACCACTCCGTCCAACCTGCCAAATAAACAACACCCCAATTAAAAGCAGTTCAACAACCAAATCTATACCTAGCACAAAGTAAATCATTAATGTACAAGGATAGCACCACTTACCCGCTCGTTGCGGTCGGCACAGAAGAGGCGCGTGTGGTGGCGCTTCTGCACCACGATGTAGGTGATGCCCGGCTGGTACTCCTTCTCCAACATGATACAGGCCTCTCTAATGGCCAGCAGCTCATAGTACAGCACCTGCCACACAGAGAGAAGTCGACACATCAGCAAAGAGTGGCGAGCGGTGAAGAATTTAAGGTTGATGGCTAATAGCTCAAGATGAAGTTTAAGACTCAAGTTTAAGGTTAATAATCTATGAAGAACATTGCTATTTGTAATAAATGTATTTCTCAACATAGGGACATAATTTGACTTGGCTGTAAACTTGAAATGAGAGATTGAAGGGGGACGTAAGTATTTGAACTAACCTGTCTGAACTGTCCCTCTGACACTCCATCCCTGTAAAATATGATTCTGGTGGGTTTGTAGCGGGTGGACTTGTAGAACTGGATGAGGAGCTCCCGCACCATGGAGGCCAGGTCCTGGATCACCTCCTGTCTGGGTCTCTGGACCCTCACTGTGGCACAGTACCTGCTGGGGTGGGCATCCATACTGCCCACCACCTGGACAGGGCCAGAGAGAGGGAAATGGTCAGAAACATCACTTCTGACACCATGTTTCAGAATGCTATTGTAGGGGTCTGGGTAACAAAACAAACTAGTAGATTACCAATGTACTAGATACATCACACCCCATGACAACTAGATAGACAGACAAGGCAGTGTTTGTGAGGAAAGTGGCAATTGAAACTAGAATGACAGGAAGAAACTGACCGCTGCAATGGATGGCTTCTTTCCATCTCCGGCTGGAGGATGAGTGACGTCGGCCCCCAGGAAGATAACAGGCTGCTGGAACACTGAGGGACTGGGTGGCGAGACAGACAAACATAAGGCACATATATCCTACAGTCCAAATAGCTGTTTGCCATACACGACATAGGTGCTTTCCATCATAAAGTATATACACTGAGTGTACAAAACATTAAGGACACCTGCTCTTTCCATGATATAGACTGACCAGTGGCGCAGTGGTCTAAGGCACTGCATCACAGTGCTAGCTGTGCCACTAGAGATCCTGGTTCGAGTCCAGGCTCTGTCGCAGCCGGCCGCGACCGGGAGATCCATGGGCGGCGCACAATTGGTCCAGCGTTGTCCAAGGTAGGGGAGGGTTTGGCCGGCAGGAATGTGGGTTCGTTTCCCACGGGGGGCCAGTATAAAAAATAAAATAAAAATAAAAATGTATGCATTCACTAACTGTAAGTCGCTCTGGATAAGAGCGTCTGCTAAATGACTAAAATGTAAATGTAAAAGATTTAAGTGCCTTTGAACGGGGTATGGCTCAACAGTTTCCCATGTGTATCAAGAATGGTCCACCACCCAAAGGACATCCAGCCAATTTGACACAACTGTGGGAAGCTTTGGAGTCAACATGGGCCAGCATCCCTGTGGAATGCTTTTGACAATACACTTTTACATTTGACCTTGTAGAGTCCATGCCCAACAAATTGAGGCTGTTCTGAGGGCAAAAAGGGAGGGAGGGGGGTGAAACTCAATATTAGGAAGGTGTCCTTAATGTTTTGTACACTCAGAGTATGTGTTTCTGCTAAATAGTACATTAACACAAGTGTTTTCTATTACCCAAATAGGGGTTTTCTGCCTGTGGCCACACACACTCTTTCACTCTGTGCGTTACCGTTGGTGTGGCACCAGGATGTTGTTGATGCCCCCCAGTTTGACGTTGATCTTGAGGCAGAGGTTGGAGAGGGTCTGAGGGGATGTCTTCACCACGTTCTTCACCTGGACACACTGAGTGGCCATGCCGAGGAGGGTGTCTCCAACCCGCTTCACCTCAGCTGTGGGAGAGACAGAGGGCACCATTTTACACCTGCTGCCATATTGTAGGACACACGTAACTATGTACACTGCTCAAAAAAATAAAGGGAACATTAAAATAACACATCCTAGATCTGAATGAATTAAATAATCTTATTAAATACTTTTTTCTTTACATAGTTGAATGTGCTGACAACAAAATCACACAAAAATTATCAATGGAAATCACATTTATTAACCCATGGAGGTCTGGATTTGGAGTCACACTCAAAATTAAAAGTGGAAAACCACACTACAGGCTGATCCAACTTTGATGTAATGTCCTTAAAACAAGTCAAAATGAGGCTCAGTAGTGTGTGTGGCCTCCACGTGCCTGTATGACCTCCCTACAACGCCTGGGCATGCTCCTGATGAGGTGGTGGATGGTCTCCTGAGGGATCTCCTCCCAGACCTGGACTAAAGCATCCGCCAACTCCTGGACAGTCTGTGGTGCAACGTGGCGTTGGTGGATGGAGCGAGACATGATGTCCCAGATGTGCTCAATTGGATTCCGGTCTGGGGAACGGGCGGGCCAGTCCATAGCATCAATGCCTTCCTCTTGCAGGAACTGCTGACACACTCCAGCCACATGAGGTCTAGCATTGTCTTGCATTAGGAGGAACCCAGGGCCAACCGCACCAGCATATGGTCTCACAAGGGGTCTGAGGATCTCATCTCGGTACGTAATGGCAGTCAGGCTACCTCTGGCGAGCACATGGAGGGCTGTGCGGCCCCCCAAAGAAATGCCACCCCACACCATGACTGACCCACCGCCATACCGGTCATGCTGGAGGATGTTGCAGGCAGCAGAACGTTCTCCACGGCGTCTCCAGACTCTGTCACGTCTGTCACATGTGCTCAGTGTGAACCTGCTTTCATCTGTGAAGAGCACAGGGCGCCAGTGGCGAATTTGCCAATCTTGGTGTTCTCTGGCAAATGCCAAACGTCCTGCACGGTGTTGGGCTGTAAGCACAACCCCCACCTCTGGACGTCGGGCCCTCATACCACCCTCATGGAGTCTGTTTCTGACCGTTTGAGCAGACACATGCACATTTGTGGCCTGCTGGAGGTCATTTTGCAGGGCTCTGGCAGTGCTCCTCCTGCTCCTCCTTGCACAAAGGTGGAGGTAGCAGTCCTGCTGCTGGGTTGTTGCCCTGCTACGGCCTCCTCCACGTCTCCTGATGTACTGGCCTGTGTCCTGGTAGCGCCTCCATGCTCTGGACACTACGCTGACAGACACAGCAAACCTTGCCAGAGCTCGCATTGATGTGCCATCCTGGATGAGCTGCACTACCTGAGCCACTTGTGTGGGTTGTAGACTCCGTCTCATGATACCACTAGAGTGAAAGCACCGCCAGCATTCAAAAGTGACCAAAACATCAGCCAGGAAGCATAGGAACTGAAGTGGTCTGTGGTCACCATCTGCAGAACCACTCCTTTATTGGGGGTGTCTTGCTAATTGCCTATAATTTCCACCTGTTGTCTATTCCATTTGCACAACAGCATGTGAAATGTATTGTCAATCAGTGTTGCTTCCTAAGTGGACAGTTTGATTTCACAGAAGTGTGATTGACTTGGAGTTACATTGTGTTGTTGTTTTTGAGCAGTGTATTTACACCCATTGCAATATTGTAGGACACAGGTAACCATTTTACACCTGATACTATCTTGTACATGGTATATATACTATCAGGCTATGGAAATAACATACAAATAAATATATAAATAGTATATGAACAGAGTTTTAAAAAATATCAAATGTGAAAGAAAATGAAAGTGTCTAGTCTGTGACCGTACCATAGACTGGGGTCTTCCCAGGCAGGATGACGATGATGAGCTGCAGGCCAGCATAGGTGTTCTTCAGGTGCCTGAACATGGGCTCCACGCTGTCTGATCCCTGAGCGTACTTACAGAAACATGGCTGGCCCTGGATTGGCATCCCAGCATCCTTAGAGATCTTACGCAGCTGGTCAGTAAAACCCCTGTAGAGATGGAGGGAAGGAGAGAGAGAGGATGGGAAGGAGAGGATGGGAAGGAGAGAGAGAGGATGAGAAAGAGAATGAGAAGGGGGGGGGGATGAGGAGACCCAAAGAGATGTTATGGACAGACACAGAGAGACGTAAGTGTTGCAGAAACCAACCAAAAGAAACGAACAAATTTGATATAACATAATAGATATGCTAATAATGCTAATTTTATGTTGATTATAATGTTATTGCATTGGGCTGAGTATTTACCTGTTGAAACAGAGACCTGTGTGTGTGTTTCTGATGTATGTATAAGACAGACAGCACTCACTTGAGGATCTCCTCGCGACACTGCCTCTGCGTGGCGAAGCAGGCGATGGCCCACATCTTGATCTCCACCCCGGTGTGGAACTGTTTGCCCCTCATGTCCCACACACCGTGGCTGGGCGTGGCCACCGTGCGGTTCTGCAACGACACCGCAGGGTTCATCTGCTGGGGCTGCCACCCACACACACACACACACACACACACACACACATACATACATAAATACAGACAGTACGGACATGGACAGAAAGGTGGAAAGACCAATTGGTTCGAAAAGATTGAGGAACTTTTGTTTGTATTTTCTTCGAAATTGTCATTTAATGCATCTAAAAACATTGTCATGCCATTCGTCATAGCCTTCACACAAGCAAAGTAGTAATCATTATTTTCAGAGATAGAAAAATAGAGGTGGGTGAAAGAGAGAGGGTGGTAGAGGTTGACAGTTGGCGGCAGGTAGCCTAGCGGTTAAGAGCGTTGGACCAGTAACCAAAAGGTTGCTGGTTCGAATCCCCGAGCTGACTAGGTGAAAAATCTGAGCAAGGCACTTAACCCTAATTGCTCCTGTTAGTCGCTCTGGATAAGAGCGTCTGCTAAATTACGTAAATGTCAAGTGACAAAATGAAAGAGCCAGGGGCAAGAAAGAGAGAGAGAGAGAGATGGGGAAGCTAAATCACAGAGACATGCGGATGAAGGATGATTTAAAGGGTATGTACCATGAAGTGTTCCAAGCTTGCCCTGCCACCGTACTGCAGCCCGGGGGCCGGCAGCACACGACCAGTCACCTGAGCCATCTCGTCACGCACGCGGAACTGAAACTCCTGGACGAACGGGTCCGCCTCATAGTTCGCACTCCGCACCTGGACACAGGGAGGGAGTGAATGAGAGAAGAGGAGGATAGAGGTGTAGGACGGAGGGAGGGGTAGTAGCAAAACAGGAAATCATTAGTTTGGAGGAGATAATAACTTAAGCAGGTGGATGAGACAAGTTTCCCCCTTACTACAGTATGTAAGCGCTTTGAGCATCTGGAAAAGTGCTATATCAATTACTATGATTAATTATAAAAAGACACTCAGTAGTCGTAATACCTCCCAGTCATTGGAGGGCGCTATAGACAGTACTCACCAGCCTGCTGATCTCCTCCTGTCTGTCTGGGGCAGAGCGGGCCGTGGCTTTGATCATGGTGGACGTCTGGTTATCAGTGAGTTTTTTTATACAGCGCTGGCCAGCTACTATGTTGCACACCTGCACGGAGACACACATAGGAATATGAGTTAAAAGTAATTTAATACAGTAGAGAGAGCAGTATTGGTACAGTTTTATGCTGAGGGCCCTGAGTTCATCCTGACCACATGAAATACAATAACTCAGGGCTCTACTTATGCTGACTAAGATCACTGCTGCTGAGAACAAACTCCCATCGCACATAATCAAAGAGAGGTTGAGAATTGGTCAAAAGTACAAAGAGCCAGTGGTACTCACCTCCAGTGGCAGGTAGGTGTGTTTCTGCTCCTGGCCCACCTGTAGGCAGGGGAGGTGGGGGTACTTCAGCTGCAGGCTGTACTTCTCTCTGAAGTACTGGGCCACCGTGCGCTCCACTGTCTGACCATTCTCCAGCTGCAGGGGGAACCTGGGGGTTCGGGGAGGAGAAACATGGAGTTGATATGTTTTTGTGACTTTGTACTCATCTAGTTTTCATGTTTAACTCTTAGGGGCGGTTTCTGGGACACAGATTAAGCCTAGTCCTGGACCAAAAAGCATTTTCAATGGAGATTCTCCATTGAGATTGCTTTTTATTCCAGGACTAGACTTAATCTGTGTCCAGGAAGCTGCCCCTTAGTCCAATATAGAGCCAATTCAAGGCATCGTTCCAGGCTGTGTCAGAGTTCAACTACACATATCCCTGTCTCTCTGAGTAGGTACTCACGTCTGGTGGCTGGCAGGGCGGCGGGTCACGTTACACACTCTGTACTTCCTCCGCATCGTCCCACAGTGGGTCACTTCCACCTTCAGACCTGGACACAGCAAAGGAAGGAGAGGAATATGTCTGAGAAGAACTATCCAACAATTTAATTATATCGTTTTAAGGGGCTTCTAATGCCCAATGCAAACACATTTTCATGTGGTATGTTCAATTGAAAGTCATCATGGATGACAGAAATCATAGAATACAGACAGTCATCTATGTACAATTTGGCAGGTAGCAAAACGATTCAGCAATACAGAAATAGCAGTGAGTCACAATACCAATATCCCTACAACCAAAACAAAGTTAGAATGACAAAAACATTAGCCCTGGAGGTCAACAGTGATGCAAGGAGTCCAGCAGCATGTTCCACTGCAGTGTTAGCATTCCTGTGCCTGGGGTGGTGGTGACGGCACTCTGCATACCTTTGATCTCTTTGGTGAACTTGACCCTGTGGGAGTCAGTGAGGGGCCGGGGCTGCTCGTCTATGTTGTGGATGTCCAGGACCTCACACATGAACTGGATCACCGGCTGGGCCTTGTAGAACGCCGTAGCCGATACTATAGATGAGAAGTGGTCAAATTCAAATAAGTTACTTCAATGCAGAAGGATCCAAGTTATGATAGTCTACAACCAAATTCAAATAGTAAGAGTTAGAATAGGTCAATTCGAAATCAGGGACTTTAATGTAGCTAAGGAACCCAATTCTGATAGCTTACAACCAAATTCTGAGTAAAAATGTTAGGTATAAGCTGAATTCTATACCATTTGGACTAATCAAAGACAGGACTGACTAAACACGATGCAACGCAACATACACTTCCGCGTTGTCTCCATGCTGCTGTGCTGTTTGTTGCTACTTGGCAGGTGCCAAACTTTGTACTTTTAACAACTATTAAATCAAACTCTGTATTTAACAAATTTACCAACGTCTTAGTTTTGTCCTCACTCAACTTCTTTCATCCAATTTTTCCACCCCGGACACTTTATCTGCACGACCTCCACCAGCCGAAAAAGCTAAGTAAAATGATGCCTTCTAATTGCAGTCGCTGTAGGCCTACTCATAATATGCAGGAGAACTATCACCTTATGGTGAGGATAGCCGAGTTGCAAGCCCAGCTTCAGACGCAATCGTTAGGCAAGGGCAATTCTGTGCCACCAGTAAGTACAGGTAGTAGTGTTAAATCCCCCCACACAGTTCCCGCAGCCGGACAATTTTCTCACGGCTTCTGGAAAGAAATGCTGTCGGCATGCTTAACCGGTGTCGCTCATTCAGCCGACAGCAACTTTCAACCTGTTTTCCCCACTAAGCAACGAGTCAGAGTCAGAGCCCGAGCATTCTCAGGTCTGTCCTCCACCCGTTACGGGGTCTGAGCCGCCGAAGCCTCCCATCATTAGCTCGGACAAATTTAAAACGCTAGTCATTGGCGACTCCATTACCTGCAATATTAGACTTAAAAAGAATCATCCAGCGATCATACATAGTTTACCAGGGCGCAGGGCTACCGACGTAAAGGCTCATCTGAAGATGGTTCTGGCTGAGGCTAAAATTGGCGAGTGTAGAAGGTATAGGGATATTGTTATCCATGTCGGCACCAACAACGTTAGGATGAAACAGTCAGAGGTCACCTAGTGCAACATAGCTTCAGCGTGTAACTTAGCCCGAAAGATATGTCGGCATCGAGTAATTGTCTCTGGCCCCCTCCCAGTTAGGGGGAGTGATGAGCTCTACAGCAGATTCGCACAACTCAATCGCTGGTTGAAAACTGTTTATTGCCCCTCCCAAAAGATTGAATTTGTAGATAATTGTCCCTCTTTCTGGGACTCACCCACAAACAGGACCAAGGCTGGCCTGCTGAAGAGTGACAGACTCCATCCTAGCTGGAGGGGTGCTCTCATCTTATCTATCAACATAGACAGGACTCTACCTCCACAATGAGATACGGTGCAGGCAGCAGGCTGTTAGCCAGCCTGCCAACTTAGTGGAGTCTGCCCCTAGCACAGTCAGTGTAGTCAGCTCAGTTTTCCCCATCGTGTCCGTGTCTCTCCCCTCCCAGAGGATCTGAGCCCTAGGACCATGCCTCAGGACTACCTGGCCTGATGACTCCTGGCTGTTCCCGTCTCCAGTCCACCTGGTCGTGCTGTTGATAGTTTATGCTGTTCTGCCTGCGGCTATGGAACCCTGACCTGTTGTCCTGCTGTCTCAACCTCTGAATGCTCAGCTATGAAAAGCCAAGAGACATGGCCATGTACTCCTATAATCTCCACCCCTCACAGCCTGCTTCCTCTCTAGGTTTCTTCCTAGGTTCCTGCCTTTCTAGGGAGTTTTTCCTAACCGCGCTTCTACATCTGCATTGCTTGCTCTCTGGGGTTTTAGGCTCGGTTTCTGTATAAGCACTTTGTGACAGCTGCTGATGTAAAAATGGCTTTATAAATACATTTCATTGATTGAGAAATCACAGACTGACTGAGATGCTACATCATCATCCAGACAACATGGAAGGAAACAAGTCCCTGCCACCAGTGAATAATATATTTTTTTAATCATTATCCATGTTCCTTACAGTCAAGAGAAAAGGCCCTCACCGTCAATGTTGAGCATCATCTTCCACATGGCGGGCCGCACCGACTGGTGGAAGCCGAACCACACCTCCCTGCCCCCGCCCAGGGGGTGGTCGTAACCCTCTGGGGAGGAGAAGAAGGAGCGCCCCACTGGGGTGTACCTGGGGGAGAAGAAAGAGGGTCACCTTTCACAGCCAGAAAATTAATTGAATTACTCTACTCATCATGTTTCATTCAAGACATAGCTTCATTAGGTTATATATCTTCTTCGAAATAATCTATACTATAGGATACTATATACTACTAGTATATTCAGGACTATAAGGGTAGATAAATACATATATACTCCTAAACTGCGCACCGAACAGAATAGCTTGTTCCACATCTAAAAAAATACAGCATAGAGCTTTTGATAGCAGTTCTACAGTACATGGACACTCCTAGGCCCTCAGACCATAGATACATATGCAATACCAGTGCTGTCCACACAGAAGTGACTCACTTCATGGAAGGCAGGTGTCGCAGCACCACGTCCACAGCGTGTACAGGGTTGGTGCTGATGGGCTTGTCCAGCTCCAAGGGCTCAGGCATGGTGCGCCCCATCAGGACCTCGTGCAGCATGTGCCAGCTGACTAGCGACACAAACTTGATAGACACTTTGAAGGGGCGATCCTTACCCCCCTCCCCTGGCAGGGTGACGTCCAGATCCACCTGAGGAGAAAATAGACGGGAGCTCAAGCTATGGCAACTCAATGTATCACCAGCACACCCATCTGACATTCAACATTGTAAATTACACTAGAAATGTTATCATGTGTATCTTGTGTGTGTGCGCACAACTCACCCCCGCTGTGGCGACTGGTAGGGGGTTGGCTGTGTAGAGGCTCCTCTTCCCATCGTAGACTGGCCTTCGGTCCCCAAAGATGGTCACCTTGAAGTGCTTCACCATGGAGTCCACCACCTCTCTATTAGGGGCACAAGAGAGACAAATATATCAACACTCCAACATTGCTCCATAACCCTGGTCTTTTAAGTGGGTAAAGAGATGCAGAGTACAGTTCGTGTGATCACATGAAAGATCTGCAGCCAGTTTGTGTTGGTTTGAGAATGTTGATGCTGACACATGATAGGTTTGTAGGTTTGTGGGTTTGATCCAGCACGTCGGGCAGCTGTATACCTATTGACGCGACGCGGGCACTTCTCAGGCTTGATGTCTACTTCATAGAGGTAGACGTCCATCTTGGGGATATCCACCTGGAAGCAGTTGGCCAGTAGCTTGATAGGCTTCCCCATGGTGCCAAAGCCAGGCCGCCGAGGCACTGAGAATAGGGCCTGGGCCCCAACATCTCCTAGAGGGAGAGAGAGAGGGCGCCAGTACTCAATATAAAACACTTCTGAAATAGAGGTTGTGGGGGAGGAGAGGAAAAGAAAGGGATCAAGAGAAAGAGTAAGAGAGAGAGAGAGACAGGGGAGTGAGAGGAAGAGCAACATCAAACTGTAGATAGGAAGTGGTAGATATTGTGGCGAAAGGCAGGGGGCTCAAGGGGGATATAAAAATCCTGTGAGGGTATTGTCCCACATAAGGAGGAGATCAAATAGGAGAGTCATGAGTCGCCTAGTTTTTCTTCCTCCCCAGAGCTATTGACACTAAAGGCTGCAGCGTTTTGTGGTGACATTTACCATGTTAAGGCACTGAATTCTCCTAACTGACAAACACAAGCTTTGGATGACAGTAGAGTAGGGCTGTGCCAGCCACACTATGCCAATACTCTACCAAAGCGCTTTCATGACAGCCTCGTCGGAAACTACTCCGGTAATCATGACGTCACAAAACCACACAAACACTACCCCACTTATGACTCAGATGAGCTGTAAACTACCTACTCTGACACCCACACAAAATACATGACACCCACTCATACAGTGACATGAGTCATCACTCAGAAAACTTCAAATCAAAATCATGTGTAAAGAAGAATATAAGAAAGAGTATTATAGGCATACGAGTTAAATAGGATGTGTTCTTCACATATTGTAGACCTCAAAACATAGAATGACATCTAGAACATTTATTATAGGATCTCTATGACCTCAAATTGAAAAAATATTACTAGGTCTAAAGGGGAAGCTAAAGGTGAGGCTGTCCTGGTTCATAGCACTGTGTCAGGGTCAGGGAATGACCCTGCAGTAAAGTGTTCGGGGATAAAGTTTCCCCTAGGTACAGATCTAGGATCAGCTTTCCTCCCCCCAATCCTAAACTTAACCATTAGGCCTCATGGGGGAAATGACCCGAGATCAGCATTTATGGGCAACTTCACCCTACTCCCAGAAACGTGGTGTAGTAAAGTGAGAGCGTCTGTGATGGCGCGTCCCCCAGTGTCTATCACTCGAACCCATGTGTCGTAGCCATGCCAACATCACCCATGTTGTTGCCACTTCTCCATGGTAACGCAGACCATGCTGACAAGAGGAGGAAAAACAGACACAAACAAGCACTGATCTCATCAAGGGTCCAGCTTAGCTTACCTGTGGAAAGATCAAAGGAAGATGGTCTAATAGTGAGTTGGACAATTAATATTGTCAGCCAGGAACAGAAATAGCCTATATGCTCAAACCTTAACTTATACACTGACTGCACTACTGAACAACTACTGAACCTAAACCTACCAAGAAACAACCAAGTGTGCAAGAGTAGGCAGCAATGGAGGTGTAGATGGCTAACTAACTGCCTCTTCTTCTTTCTCCTCCCCTTCCATGTATAGTTAGGCCACAAGTCTACCCACACAGAGCTCTGGATCCTGGGCTCTCTTGGCTTACACATACAGAACGCACACAATAAATATCATGTGAAAGTTGTAGGCTTTTATCATAGTGACTCTGACAGTTGTGTTCAGCCAGGTACAGGCACTCGGCAGCTTTGCCCAAGATGTTCTCCGAAGGAGCCTACCGTTAATCCTTTAGGTCCAAGGACCTTACAGTGCCTTCAGAAAGTATTCATACCCCTTGGCTTATTCCACATTTGGTGTCACCCATCTACACACAATACCCCATAATGACAAGTGAAAACATGTTTTTAGAAATTTGTTAAAATTTATTGAAAATGAAATACAGAAATCTCTCATTTACATAAGTATTCACACCCCTGAGCCAATACATGTTAGAATCACGATTACAGCTGTGAGTCTTTCTGGGTAAGTCTAAAGAGCTTTGCACACCTGGATTGTACAATATTTGCACATTATTCTTTAAAGATTCTTCAAGCTCTGTCAAGTTGGTTGTTGATCATTGCTAGACAGCCATTTTCAAGTCTTACCATAGATTTTGAAGCCGATTTAAGTCAAAACTAACTAGGCCACTCAGGAACATTTAATGTCGTCTTGGTAAGCAACTCCAGTGTATATTTGGCTTTGTGTTTTAGGTTATTGTCCTGCTGAAAGGTGAATTTGTCTCCCAGTGTCTGTTGGAAAGCAGACAACCAGGTTTTCCTCAAGGATTTTGCCTGTGCTTAGCTCTATTCCGTTTTTCTTTTATCCTAAAAAACTCTAGTCCTTGCCGATGACAAGCATACCCATAACATGATGCAGCCACCACCATGCTTGAAAATATGAACAGTGGTACTCAGTGATGTGTTGGATTTGCAGTTTATTGCATATTTTGGAATAAAATTTTTCTGTACAGGCTTCCTTCTTTTCACTGACATTTAGGTTAGTATTGTGGAATAACTACATTTTAGTCATTTAGCAGACGCTCTTATCCAGAGCGACTTACGGTTAGTGACAATGCTGTTGATTCATCCTCAGTTCTCCTATCACAGCCATTAAACTCGGTAACTGTTTTAAAGTCACCATTTGGCCTCATGTTGAAATCCCTGAGCGGTTTACGTCCTCTCCGGCAACTGTGTTAGGAAGGACACCTGTATCTTTGTAGTGATTGGGTGCATTGATACACCATCCAAAAGTTTAATTAATAACTTTACCATGCTCAAAGGAATAGTCAATGTCTGCAAAAAATTTTACCCATCTACCAAGGTGCCCTTCTTTGCGTGGCATTGGAAAACCTCCCTGGTCTTTGTGTTTGAAATTCACTGCTCGGCTGAGGGACCTTACAGATAATTGTATGTGTGGGGTACGAAAATCATGTTAAACACTATTATTGCACACGGAGTGAGTCCATGCAACTTATTATGTGACTCGTTAAGCAAATGTTTACTCCTAAACTTATTTAGGCTTTCCATAACAAAGGGGTTGAATATTTATTGACTGAAGACATTTTAGCTTTTCATTTTTTATTAAAATGTCTACAAACATAATTCAACTTTGACATTATGGAGTATTGTGTGTAGGCCAGTGACACAAAATCTTAATTTAATCCATTTTAAATTCAGACTGTAACACAACAAAATGTGGGGGGGAAATAAAGGGGTGTGAATACTTTGGTAGACTGGCTCTGGCAGGCAAAACAGCCAAATACTACATCTAAATGTGAATCGATTCTCAATTGCAATATGGTTCTAGAAACATAAAGCCCTTTACTTTCATATCACATCAAAAAAGAATTTCACAAATGCAAAATATTCACTTACTGTACACTGTTTTAACCAGCTTGATCACAGTTGCAGCTGACAGTATTTTTCAGTGACACCATTCTGGCAGCCTTCATCCATTACACACAGGTGTTCGGAGCATGCTAGATAGCTAATTAGCACAGGTGGTCCCTCTGTCTTCCATAAACACACGCTGTAACATGGAGATATGGCCCTGTGGGAACACTAACCCTATAAAAAGGTGTGTATCAAGTTAAGCTTTTTATGTTATTTTATTATTGCTGATATAAAAGATAAAAAGGTCCTTATGCATCCAAAACCGTACCGCAAACAATGCGTGTTAATGTTTAGACCGAGCGTCGGGGCTCTTAACAAAACTCCCCTGTACAGGAGATGCCTTCGTCCAATGGCTCGTGTGTTAAATAATGGAACTGAGTCATGATCAAGGGCTATCGGCAGCTGTATCCTACCTCTGGCTCCGCCACATTAACACACGGGTCATTCTGTGCATGTAAAATTGATATATACAGTTGAAGTCAGAAGTTTACATACACTTAGGTTGGAGTCATTAAAACTCGTTTTTCAACCACTCCACACATTTCTTGTTAACAAACTAGAGTTTTAGCAAATCGGTTAGGATATCTACTTTGTGCATGACACAAGTAATTTTTTCCAACAATTGTTTACAGACAGATTATTTAACTTATAATTCACTGTATCACAATTCCAGTGGGTCAGAAGTTTACATACACTAAGTTGACTGTGCCTTTAAACAGCTTGGAAAATTCCAGAAAATGTCATGGCTTTAGAAACTTCTGTTAGGCTAATTGACATCATTTAAGTCAATTGGAGGTGTACCCGTGGATGTATTTCAAGGCCTACCTTCAAACTCAGTGCCTCTTTGCTTGACATCATGGGGAAATCAAAAGAAATCAGCCAAGACCTCAGAAAAATATATTGTAGACCTCCACAAGTCTGGTTCATCCTTGGGAGCAATTTCCAAATGCCTGAAGGTACCACGTTCATCTGTACAAACAATAGTATGCAAGTATAAACACCATGGGACCACGCAGCCGTCATACCACTCAGGAAGGAGACGCGTTCTGTCTCCTAGAGATGAACGTAATTTGGTGCGAAAAGTGCAAATCAATCCCAGAACAACAGCAAAGGACCTTGTGAAGATGCTGGAGGAAACAGGTACAAAAGTATCTATATCCACTGTAAAACGAGTCCTATATCGACATAACCTGAAAGGCCGCTCAGCAAGGAAGAAGCCACTGCTCCAAAACCACCATAAAAATGCCAGACTACAGTTTGCAACTGCACATGGGGACAAAGATCGTACTTTTAGGAGAAATGTCCTCTGGTCTGATGAAACAAAAATAGAACTGTTTGGCCATAACGACCATCGTTATGTTTGGAGGAAAAAGGGTGTTGCTTGCAAGCCGAAGAACACCATCCCAACCGTGAAGCACGGGGTAGCAGCATTATGCTGTGGGGGTGATTTGCTGCTGGAGGGACTGGTGCACTTCACAAAATAGATGGCATCATGAGGAAGGAAAATGATGTGGATATATTGAAGCAACATCTCAAGACATCAGTCAGGAAGTTAAAGCTTGGTCGCAAATTGGTCTTCCAAATGGACAATGACCCCAAGCATACTTCCAAAGTTGTGGCAAAATGGCTTAAGGACAATAAAGTCAAGGTATTGGAGTGGCCATCACAAAGCCCTGACCTCAATCCTATAGAAAATGTGTGGGCAGAACTGAAAAAGCGTGTGCGAGGCCTACAAATCTGACTCAGTTACACCAGCTCTGTCAGGAGGAATGGGCCAAAATTCACCCAACTTATTGTGGGAAGCTTGTGGAAGGCTACCTGAAACGTTTGACCCAAGTTAAACAATTTAAAGGCAATGCTACCAAATACTAATTGAGTGTATGTAAACTTCTGACCCACTTGGAATGTGATTTAAGAAATAAAAGCTGAAATAAATCACTCTGCTATTATTCTGACATTTCACATTCTTAAAATAAAGTGGTGATCCTAACTGACCTAAGACAGGGAATTTTTACTAGGATTAAATGTCAGGAATTGTGAAGTTTCCTGTTTAAATATATTTGGATAAGGTGTATGTAAACTTCTGACTTCAACTGTATATACAGTGGGGAGAACAAGTATTTGATACACTGCCGATTTTGCAGGTTTTCCTACTTACAAAGCATGTAGAGGTCTGTAATTTTTATCATAGGTACACTTCAACTGTGAGAGATGGAATCTAAAACAAAAGTCCAGAAAATCACATTGTATGATTAAGTAATTAATTTGCATTTTATTGCATGACATAAGTATTTGATACATCAGAAAAGCAGAACTTAATATTTGGTACAGAAACCTTTGTTTGCAATTACAGAGATCATATGTTTCCTGTAGGTCTTGACCAGGTTTGCACACACTGCAGCAGGGATTTTGGCCCACTCCTCCATACAGACCTTCTCCAGATCCTTCAGGTTTCGGGGCTGTCAAAGGGCAATACGGACTTTCAGCTCCCTCCAAAGTTTTTCTATTGGGTTCAGGTCTGGAGACTGGCTAGGCCACTCCAGGACCTTGAGATGCTTCTTACGGAGCCACTCCTTAGTTGCCCTGGTTGTGTGTTTCGGGTCGTTGTCATGCTTGAAGACCCAGCCACGACCCATCTTCAATGCTCTTATTGAGGGAAGGAGGTTGTTGGCCAAGATCTCGCGATACATGGCCCCATCCAT